TACATTGGTTTAGGGGCTCTGGTGGTGTAGTGCCTAAGGCATTTGAGTGCTAACCAGAAGGCTAATGTTTCAAACCCACCAGCCACTCCTTAGAAGGAAGACTGGGTAATCTACTTCCATAAAGATACCGCCTTGGAAATTCAAGGAGGGGGCGCTATGGGTCAAAATAGACTTAACTCTAAGGTAGTGAGTTTGGTTTTGGTTTATACATCGCTTTTGCTTTTTACAATACCCTTAAGAAGTAGGTGCTCTCAATAGCCAAATTCAAGACTATTTAAGGAAACTGAGGTTTAGACATGTTAAATTATTTGTAAGATTTCCCCCAGCTAAACAGAGCTGAGTACAATGAACACAATAGGAGGCTTCTCTTGGTGTGTGTGTTGGGTGGACTCCTCATCTTCACTGCTCCTTTCTCATTCACCCCACCCCATCATACACAAGGGCAGAATGGGTCCCCAAGTGAGCTTGACTCCAGAAAGACTGCTTGGAAGCAGCCTAGGGAGCTGAGGCTCTTTGAGACCAGGCCTCTATTTATTGTTGTTATGTGCCATCGAGTCAGACCCAACTCATAGCGACCCCTCCTTGGGTTGCCGAGGCAGTATCACTATGGAAGTAGATTGCCCCATCTTCCTTCCAAGGAATATAGCAGCTACATAAATCCAAACTTTCTCCTTCTCTGAACTCAGCCATCTTTACATTGGCTGAGCTGGCCCCAGGAAACTGGCCTGGGAGCAGAATGTGCAAGTCTCATGCTGCAGTTTTTTCCTTCTCCCTGAGAAGAGTCCCTGGGGTAGGTTAGTGACTTGGTCTCCTGCTTGTGTTATGAGGGGAGAGAAGGAGGAAGAAGCTCTGCCCTTAGTAACCAGCCTTTCACTGACCCCAGAATAGACTGATGCTGGCTCTTGGAGCTGGGATGGTCCTAGAATTTTCCACTACAGTCCATTTCCTGCCATGATTTCCACAGCCAGCAAGTGACCCCTACCAGGGACCAAGGAACTTGTCCACCTGAGACTTACACAGCCATACTGGTTGAGAAACCTGAGGGTTGAGGGACCCTGAATTTGGTAAGACCATATTCTTGGTGGGATCCCCTAGGGAAAACAGCTTTAGCCTGGGAGAGGCATGGAGTTGGTCCCTTGCTGTCACCTTCACCTTCTGTCCTACTTCTGGCCAGTGAAGTCTTTGGCCCCAAGTAAAGGTAGCATAGCCCATTGAGGAAGGAGAGTTTTTGGACAGGGTGAAGGGTAGTAAGGAGTGTGGAGAAGGGGCTTGGGCCAGATGTGGCTAGTTGGGGCAAGGCTAGGGGGCTTCCATCTATGGGTCACCCCTGCTATCCTCCTCCCCAGTGTCTTGGAAGACACAGGATATCCCTATGAGTGCTGTGGGGGGACATAGCCCTTGGAAGGGCAAGGCCAGGGCATGGAAGACAGCACAGTTTTAAGTTTGGTCCTTGCTGGCAGAGATGACCCTTGACCTAGTAGGAGTAGGGCCTTAGCTTGTGGGAGAGAATCTCAGTCTCAGGGACACAAGCATACCTCATTCACCCTACCTTTATCACATACACAGAGGGGGCTTTTTAAACTTCCCTTAGCAGAGAACATTGTATAAATGCGTACACGTATCTTGAAAATCTCCTTATACTTGACACCCTCCCCATGCCCCAGTGTGGGTCAAATTATGTGATACCTCAAGCTCTCCACCCAGTGAATGGCTTTCCCAAATAAACCACCTTTTACCCATGGTCTTCTATTTCCTAAGAAACTGGGATCTTACCTGGAAGGGGTAATAATAAAAATAATGCTAATATTTCACATTTGTACTGCACTTTATAGTTTACAAAGTGCTTTTGCTGTCTATTGTCATATCTTATTCTCACCATACCACAGTGGACTGGGAAGTTGTGACTAGGTAGAAGACCTAGTTTTATCTTCATTTCATAAGTACTTGGACACACATGGGTCCTTTGACAGACATGAGCTGGCATGGCCTGGACTCCAGCTCTGTGGCCTATAGCTCCTTCCAAAGGGACTACCTTCCATCTGGGGGCATCATGGATCTTTAAAACAGCCATATGATTCAATTCAATTCACCTAATTTTGTGATTCAATTTACCTAATTCCTCTGTTCCGAGGAACTCCATCCTTAAAACCGCTAGGACAAGTCAGGCTTTGATTCACAAGGATGTCTGCTTGCCCCCCTTAGGTTTTCCTTAAAGGAAACACTCAGGCACACTTACTAGTCTCATTCATTCTCTCCCTAAAATCCCAGTACCATTTTTACTCCCTCCTGTCTGATGAGGACTAGATTAAATGTCTTCTCATCAAGGCACCTTTTCTGAGCCCCATATGCTGAATGTCTTTCTTCCTTTCTAATTTATCCTGAGATACATTAATAAAATATAAAGAATGATACCCACCACACAGTTTAAGAAATAACTGGTGCTATTTTTTAAGCCTGTTGCTCACTGTGCCTTCAGACTGTTACATATAGAACTCTACCCCCCTGCTAGCCTCTGAGGTCCCTAAAATCAAGATCTAGGGGTACCCCCTTCTTGGCCTGACCTGAAATGCTGAGGTCAGTGCCTATTACTTACAGAATGTTCTGGAAAGGTTTGTATCATGAATTCCACAGAGGGGAATACAATTTCACAAAGAAATTCACTACTACCACCCCAACTCGTCCATGCCCAACACCATTATGACAACCCTGCCAAGAATTTCAGGCCTAGAGTAAAACATCTGTGCTGTGGAAAATGGTATTTAGATAAATGATCAAAAACAAAACAAAACAAAACTCACTGCCACCAAGTCAATTCTGGCTCCTAGTGATCCCCATTGGGGTTTCCAAGGCTGTAAATCTTTACAGAAGCAAACTGCCTCATCTTTCTTCCATGGAGCAGCTGGTGGGTTTTGAGACCTTTTGGTTAGTGGACAAATGCCTTAACCAAAACACCACCAGAGACCCTTAGATAAATGATAGGGCCCCTTTTCCCATGAGTGGTGGACTGTGGGTGATAATGTGTATATGTATGATTGTGTGTGGTGGGAGAGTTGTCCATTGTGGAATTTATCAATTGCAGGGCTGGACTAAGTTGATCCTCAACAATGCATTGTAAAAATATGACCCACTCAGAAAAACTCGTAACTTGATCAAATAGTAATGCATATCTCTGCAGATGAGCTTTTCCTTTTTCTTTCTTTTCTGGATACCCAGCCATTATTTTACTCTACTTTTGATATTCAGTTCTGCAGAATGCTCTAGTTGGAAGCTTGTATAACACTGATGATTCAAGTGTCAAACCAAGAAAAGAATCAGGTATAAAATTAATGTTTGCAAAATAGGACCAACGCCTCCAGAAGGGGCTCCTCTAATGAGGTCTGAGGCTGAGTGCCAGCCTGCTTCTACCACCACTGCTGGTCTACAGTCATCCACTGCAGGTGAATGTATTCTGTCTTATTGCTATGACAAGAAATCACAAGGCTGATGTGCTGGGCAGCTGCTCCGGGGAAGTTTCTTCGGCACCCAGCAACTGTTCTGTCTCCCTTCCCCCACCCACACTCTCCCTGTCTGTTGGGAGCACAATGGTAAGTGACACCACTTTTATACACCAAATTTTGGCATAGGGCATCTGTTGAAGTGGGTGGTGGCTAGCACTTCTTTTTATTCTATCTTTGGTGGTGTACTGCCTAAAGCATTTGACTGGTAACTAGAAGGCTGGTGGTTCAAACCAACCAGCCACTCCTTGGAAGGAAGATGAACAATCTACTTCCGTAGAAATACCACCTCAGAAACCCAAGGCGGGGAGTCTCTATGAGTTGGAACCAACTCGACAGCAGTGAGTTTTTTTTTTTTTTCTTATAGCATTTTGATGTTTGCAGAATCTGGAACTTATATGAGGAGGTGTGCCCTGCCCCAGGTTTGGTTGTTTAAATATCTATCAAAAGCCTGTGTCCCAGGCCAGAGCCATGAATTATGTAGGGTCTTGCCTTCAAGAAGTTCCCTGTGTACTTTGGGAGGTATATGGGGACCAAAATATGAGGGGAAGGGAGGGGAAGGAGGGGAGAGGAGGGGAAGAGAAAAAGCCTACATCGTGGCTCTAAAGTAGAAATTTGGGGTTCAAGTTGTCATGGGCAGCATTAAAATCCCTTCCCAGCAGGACAGTCAATTGAAAGTCTGACCTAGGCCCGCTATCACATAACCCTTATAAGGGGGAGTAATTGGTAGGCCACTTGTATAGAAGAGACTGAAGCCTAGAAAGGTTAAGTTCCTTGGCTGAGGCCACCACCTGCCTTTTCTGATCCTCAATTGTTGCCCAGAAGTGTGAGGCTCCTACTTTGGGGTTCTAAAGATCTGAACATGGCCCTAACAATAGTTTAGTAAACGCTCGGGGAAAAGATGACACATCAGGTCTACTTTTCTTCCCAGCCCTAAGAAAAATGTCAACAAGAGCCAAAGCTAATCTGAAATCGAGGCCTGGAGTTGGCAGAGACCAGTGAGGACTGCTAGATGCTTTTCAAAACTTCTGTGATGTCAGAACCGGCCTCCCTCCAGGTTTCCATGGCCCCCCTGAAAGACTCCCTTCGATAATCCCACTAGGCCTTTCACACATCTGCAGTTTTCCCTGCCCTGCTCAGTGATCCCCAAAGCTTAAGATGGCCAGAAAAAAGGGAATCCAGTGAAGGAGTGGGGGTGATGGTTGCCTGTTTCTCAGTGTAGAATTTTGCTGCTTTGGCTCCTAGCTTTGGCCAGCAAGCAAAACATATGGAATGGATTAAGATTTCCCCCATATTTTTCTTTACTTTCTCTGTTTCCACTCAAGCCTGAGACAACAGACACCTGTGAAAGTAAACCCAGTTTGCTCACTAGTATCTGTCTTTCTGTCTTTGTCTCTCTCATCTCCTCCAGACCCACCTATGGTGCTTCCTGACTGATGATGTTATAATAGTGCCAAGAAGCCTGAGGCTGAATTTCCAGAGAGTGCCTGAGTTGTCCCCATCACCATGGAGACCCGAAAGGATGAAGCTGCTCAAGATAAGGGAGTGGCAGCCTTTGGGGACACCCAGACCCAAGGGGCAGCAAAAGCAGCCAAGAACAAGGTAGCTGAGGCAAGGGAAGGGCCAGTGTCAGAGCCACCCTTATCTGGCCCAGGTAGGTTGAAGAAAACTGCCATGAAACTCTTTGGTGGCAAAAAGGGCATCTGTACCCTGCCTAGTTTTTTTGGTGGGGGACGAAGCAAAGGTTCTGGAAAAGGCAGCTCCAGGAAAGGTCTCAGCATGAGCAAAACCCATGATGGCTTGAGTGAATCAGTCTGTGGCCCTGAAGATGCTGCCAGTGAGGGAACTGACCTCACCCTACCTTTGCCTGAATCACCTTCTACACTTTCCAGCTCCCAAAGTGCCCATGGGGCTTTGGAGACAGGTTCCAGATGTAAGATGTCTGTGCCTAGAGCCATAGAGAAGGCTGAGGCTGAGAAGGTCCCCTCTGTATTTAAGCCAAAGAAAGGCCTGAAAGGATTTTTCAGCAGTATCCGCCGTCACCGAAAAAGCAAGATCACTGGGATTGAGCAAAGTGAACCAGTGGTCAAGGTGCCTGAGGGGACCAGAGCCAGGCCTCATGAGCATGTGAGGTCAGCTCCTCTGCTTCATTCTGATGAGACCCTCCAAGCCTCAAGCAAGGAAGATTCCAAATTTCAGGATGCCTCTGGGTCAAAAGTTTCTCCAACACCAGAATCTTCTCTACCAGTTACTGAGAAGACAACCTGTAGAGATCCAGAAAAAAACATAGATGTCTGTGCTTCAGCACTAGTGCAGCTCAAACCTGTCCCTAAGACCAGTGACCCTGAGGAACCCCAAAGTCCAGAAACAGGAGACAAGATGGTGACAAGAGAGGTAAATCCATCCAGTGGCCCTGTAGGGTATCAGCTGAGCCTCTTGTTTGGTGATGTCACATCCCTGAAGAGTTTTGACTCACTGACAGGTTGTGGGGACATCATAGCTGAACAAGACATGGATAGCATGACAGATAGCATGGCCTCTGGGGGCCAGAGGGCCAACCGAGATGGGACCAAGCGAAGTTCCTGCCTAGTTACTTACCAAGGAGGTGGGGAGGAGATGGCCTTACCAGATGAGGAAGAGGAAGAGGAGGTGGAATTAGAAGAGGAAGAAGAAGAGGTAAAAGAGGAAGATGATGATGAAGCATATCTGTGGGCAAGTGCCCAGATGTACCCAAGGCCCAACCTGAACTTGGGCTATCATTCCACCACATCCCCAGGCGACCATAGCTATATGCTCCTTGACCAAGTTCGGTCTTATCCTGGACTAGCCCCTGGGGACCTTTTGACTCCTCAGAGTGACCAGCAAGAATCTGCCCCCAATAGTGATGAAGGTTATTATGACTCGACCACACCTGGATTTGAGGATGATTCAGCTGAGACCCTGGGACTTGTCCACAGGGATTGCCTTCCCCGAGACAGCTACAGTGGAGATGCCCTTTATGAGTTCTATGAGCTAGATGACAGTCTTGAGAATTCTCCACCTGGAGATGACTGCCTTTACGACCTCCATGGTTGCAGCTCTGAAATGTTTGATCCTTTCTTGGACTTTGAGCCCTTCTCTTCCTCCCGGCCACCTGGGGCAATGGAGACAGAGGAGGAAAGGCTAGTGACTATCCAGAAACAGTTGTTGTATTGGGAACTTCGGCGGGAACAACTTGAGGCCCAGGAGGCACATGCTCATGAGGCTTATGTCAAGGAGGCCCACACCAGGGAAGCTCATACCAGAGAGATCCTAACCCAAGAGGTCTATGCTAAAGAGGCCCAAGCCCGTGAGGCCCATGCCAGAGAGGTTCATATGCTAGAAGCCCATGCCAGGGAGGCCTGTGCCCGAGAGGCCCATGTTCGAGAGGCTCAAGCCCAAGAGACCTTGGCCCAGCAGGAGAAGCCCATCATGGAGTATCAGATGAGGCCCTTAGGCCCATCAGTGATGGGCCTGGTGGCAGGGGCATCAGGGATATCTCAGACTTCCCACCATGGAACCACCTCAGTTTTCCCTGCCACTGCAAGCAGTGAGCCAGACTGGAGGGACTTCCGTCCCCTGGAGAAGCGTTTTGAAGGAACCTGCTCCAAGAAAGATCAAAGTACCTGCCTGATGCAGCTTTTCCAGAGTGATGCCATGTTTGAGCCAGACATGCAAGAAGCAAATTTTGGAGGGTCTCCCAGAAGGGCCTACCCTACTTACTCACCTCCTGAGGAACCAGAAGAAGAGGAGGTTGAGAAAGAAGGGAATGTCACTGTGAGTTTCTCACAGGCCCTGGTGGACTTCACCAGCAATGGGAACCTCTTTTCCAGCATGTCCTGCAGCTCTGATTCTGACTCATCTTTCACTCAAAACCTCCCTGAGCTTCCTCCCATGGTGACCTTTGACATTGCTGATGTGGAAAGGGATGGGGAAGGTGAGTGTGAAGAGAATCCTGAGTTCCACAGTGATGAAGACCTTGCAGCCTCCTTGGAAGCTTTCACAATGGGCTACTACCAGAAACACACCTTCAACAACTACTGCAGCCGATTCCACCAAGGCTTGCCTTGGGGTGTAAGCAGCCTCCCTCGATACTTGGGACTGCCTGGCATGCGCTCTCAGCCTCCACCTGCTACCATGGCTCTCAACAGAAGAAGCCGCTCCCTCGACACTGCAGAGACCCTAGAATTGGAGCTTTCCAATTCCCACCTGGCCCAGGGCTACATGGAGTCTGATGAGCTTCAGGTCCAGCAGGAAGAGTCAGATGAAGAAGAGGAGGAGGAGGGAGAAGGGGGCCGAGACAGTCCCCTGTCCCTCTATACTGAGCCCCCAGGGGCCTATGACTGGTCTACTTGGGCTCCCTTTCCTTTAGCAGTGGGACCAGGCCCTGCCTGGATAAACCCTAATCAGTTGGATAGGCCTTCCAACTTGTCTCCATATGAGCAGACAGCCTGTTGTATACCTCCTATGGCAATGTCATTGTCTCTGCCTGTACCAGGGCCAGAGCCAAGGGCATCCCGAGTATCTGGGCCTCAGCTAGCTCGGCCTTCACACCTACCCCTACCCATGAGCCCTTGTTATAATCCTCATTCACAGATCTCTCAGAATGTAAGGGTGAGGCCACAAGATATATTGCTGCCCAATTGCTCTGCTAGTTCCAAAGTCTTCAGCTCCAGCTCTCTGTCCCAAGCCAAGTCTTTGGATATCACCCATGACATCCCTCAGCTGCTCAGGATCCTGCCTGAGCCCCCAAGCCTCAGTCCATTCACTATGGGGTTTCCAGCCTTGACCTGTCAAAGGAGAGGGCCAAGCAAGGTGCCTCCCTCTCCACCAGCTACTCCTCCACTGTCTTGAATGGAAACTTAGCTGAGTAGTCATCGTCAATTGCAGAGTAGTGGCATAGGGCCTGAGCATGTGAGAATCAGGGGTTGGGCAGAGGGGTAGGAGGGTGGAGATTTCTGTTTAAGTTGAAAATCCTTTTGACTAAGGAAAGCTCCTATGAGTTTTTGCCTTTGTTTTCCCACTTCCCCTTTCTGCCATCTGTGGCCATGTTTGGCTTGGGTACATTTGCTCAGAGAGGCTGCTGCTGCACTCCAAATTTTGCTTTTGGGGTTTATTCTTATGACCCAGTCAGGGTTTGGGATGCTGTGATTTTGTTCCTATTCCAGTTGCTGAGTTAGTGATTATGTATATAGTGTGCATCCTTGACATAGGCTAAACTCTTGGCATCACCACACCTCCACCACCACCCCCAAGTGTATCATGGACCACTGATGAGCAGCCAGGTCTGCACAGGCACTGCCTCCCACTCAGGGATGGGGGATATTTTTGCTGTTATAAATTATGGTACAGATTCTTCCTACCCCCACTCCCTTTAGCCTTGGCATAGCTGCAACCATTGCATCAGATACCTATAATCTGTTTGTCTCAGTTAGATGTCCTTAGGAAGGATCAAGTCACATATGTCTCAATGCCTATTGCTGTGGACTTTGACATCATTACAAGATGGAGGCTTTTTAACCTGGCCTATCATAGTTTAAGTTGAAGACAAAAACTCTAATCCCCTTAGTGGAATGATCAAATTCTTCCAGTGGGAAAGAGAAGACAAATAAAAATCTATCATGGATGCTGCCATAGAGTCTTGAGCTATGGAATGACAGGGTTTTTCCTTCTTCTCCTCTTAAACCTGTGGCTGCCTGAGTTGCCGATAATTCTGAATTTTGGCCCTTTTTTCCTCAAAAGGAAGTTTTCATAATCTCGTCACAAGGAGCACATTCTTTAATTGAGATACCAGAAGAGAAGTAGGGGTTGAGGTTTTTGGAATGTGTAGTTATTGGGTGGTGTGATATTCACTTGAGTACTAGCCAAAAAAGTTGGAAGCTCGAGTCCACCCAGAGGCACCTTGGAAGAAAGACCTGGTAATGTGCTGCTGAAAGATCACAGCCTTGAAAACCCTGTAGAGCAGTTGCACACATGCGTCCACAGCAAATAAGGAGAATAACAAGGGAAAGGATAGAAAAATGTGGCCTCTTTGTCCTAGGCAGCAAGAGAGGGGATTTCAGACTTTGCAGAACTCAAGGATACCTAGCTTCTTAGAATGGAAAACTGCTCCCCTTTGCCAAGCAAAAAGTTCCCTAAGTTTTGTGTGCCCTTTTGGACAGTGTGTAAAGGCTGCAGGGTTGCCTGACTTACAGCTCATGTTGCACTCCTGACAGGATACCAAAGGCATCTTGGCTGCTGTTCTGGTCTCTCTAAGAGATTTTATCTTCCAATTAGCCAAATCCTTGGCATCATAAAAGGACCATGCTTCTTGAGAAAAAAGACTGTGACTCACCCTCACTCTGCCAAGCTGCAGGACCCTTATTTGCATGGCAGTTACATGTTAAACTAGGTTGGAAATAACAATGGCGAAGATCTTGCTATAAGGAAGACATTGCAGCAGGCTAATTATGCCAGGCTCAACCTTTCATTAATCACCAATATGAGAGGGTTCTTTTAAAATATTTTTTTAAAAAATTGGAAATGGACAAAGGGGCATTTTGTGCTTGAATGTGTTGACCCAACTTACGATTCTTGCTCTTCCTGCTTGTGCCCTCACCCCACACCCATTTCCATGCCTGTCAAGAGAAGTGGTCAATAGAGTTCTTGCCATTCCTGAGACATAGCTTGGGAACAGATGTTGTTAGTTCTGTAGATCATGGTGACTTTGTGGACAAACTGCACCTTGGCTAGGCAATGTGTCCGAGCTGGTTTTTGTCACCGTTTCTCAGATAGGGGTTGGCTCAGTGCCAATCCCCATAAACAGCAGAGCTGGATGGAAGAAACTGCACCCCTGGAAGCATCACAGCAGTTTTCATGGCACCAACACCACCCCTCAAGGGAATCAGACCAACTCTCCAGGATGATTGTGGCTGACATTGCAAAGAAGTACATCAGTCATGGAGCTAATATGAAAGGTGAGAAAGTCCCTACTAACCCAAGCCCCGCATTATAGGAAAATGTGCCCAAATTCCTACCATCTGGCCTCCTACCAAAGTTGCTGAGGGAAAGTGGGGCTGAAGTTGATTTGATTATTTGGCAGGAAGTAAATACTCACCAAATGCCTTTGCAACAGGGGAAAATTCACCTCTTGCCTTCTCTATCTTTGCTTGTCCTTCAGGGCAGCTTGAGCTCCTGTCTGCCTGTGAACTGTGCCATCCACATCAGGCAGTGAGCCATCACAAGCCTCCAGCTCCCACTGAAGAAGAAGAGAAAAGTAAATGGCCAGCCTCAAGGGCATGGAGGCAGTAAGATGTGCTGTCTCTGAGAAGGGCTGTCATAGCCCTGACACAACTTGCTGGGCTTTGGAACATGTCACACCACATGTTAAGGCCTGGCTGAGTAGAGTTCAGGATTTGGACAGCATTACTTCCCACAAGTCCCCTGATCCACCTATGGACAAGATCTTCACCATCAGAAGCAAGGCAGGCAGGGTATATTGCTGTGGAAGCAGGCTCCTTTGAGTTTCACTCTAGATCCAAGAAGTTCATGGCCAAACCCCAGCTACAGCCTAGAAGCTTGCTTGGCTGGCACCAAATATAACCTGGATTGCCAAAGGTATTAATATCATGTCTATCACCTCTTATTAAAGGAAAGAGTGCCTAGGCTGTGACCATATCTCCATGCCAAGATCCTGGAATAATATTTTTGGATGTGACTTCAGGAGAAAGTGTGACTTGGGATGAGGTGGCTTCATTCATTTTGCTACCCAGAAGGCTTACCTAGTGCTAGACAACTCTGATTCTGAGAATTCCCAGATGAGATCAGTCCTTGGGGATGGGGGACAGTAAATGTGGGTAGAGAAAGCCACCTAGCAGACCTCTTCTAGGGCTGGAATGCCAGTTCCTTGGTGCTTTAGAACCTTCCTGGCACTATTGTTGAGGCATTGGGCTGCCTTATCCAAAATGATGGCAGTTCATACCCACCAGCCACTCTGTGGGAGGAAAGACAAGGCAGTCTGCTGCCATAAAGATTTACAGCTTTGGAAACCCTGTGGGGGGTTGCTATGAATTGGAATAGAATCAATGGCAGTTGTTTTGGTTTTTAGAGCTTTCAAGGAAGCCCTGCTTTGGGACTCATTTAGAGCCTGCCCTGCCCATCTTAACTCAGCGTGGGTACAAGACCACAAGTTTCCTGGGGCAGAGGCTTCAATAAACACCAGTCTCCTTCCCTTCTCAATGCTGTACCCAGGAGGGAAGTGACTTTACATACCCCAGGAGGCTAAGTGCATGCCCTTTGTCCTTCTGCTTGTGATTTTCCCACCTGTGCCAGTGCCACCACTTCACTTGCTCTTGGCTCCCAGTCCCAGTTAGGGGAATCTAGCAGGGAAACTTCAAGTTTTCCCATGTGCACATTTCATCCAAGGTGTTTTATATATATATGCACACACATATATGTATATGTGTGTATATATATGTGTGTGTGTGTGTGTGTGTGTCTCAAAAGCCAATTATCTATTTTTGTATTATTTGCATTTTATATTCATGGAAAATGTTTATCGACTGTTCTTTTTGGATATATTTTATTTTTAAGCGGTGCTGTTTACAGTTTTAAACAAAACAAAGATGACACTAAAATCACTGCTGCTTGTGCAGAGGCCTGGCATTTCAACTGCCCAGGTCCCTCCATCTTTCCCCTCTCCCCACTCCCACTGTACCAAACTGTACAGCCCTTTCTCCATGATAGGGACAGCAGAAGATGCCCAGGTACTGCAGACAAACACCAGGTGACTCAGGTGTGCAGAACCTGGTAGACAGGATATTGTTTTTATGGCTTTATTTTTGTTTTCATTTCCTCAGTGTTTTGACCTCTGGAAGTACTCATGTTTCTTTATTTTTTTTTTCTTCTTTATGTTTTGTGCTTTTATTTTTTAATTAGAGTGTCCATGTTATGTTATTTGTTGTGTTGTTTCTCCAATGGAGCATTTTGGGGACATTATCCACACAGTAGGGAGGGCAAGGAGTTTCAAATACACACTCCTCTCCCACAGAAGCTAATGGCACTGATGCTCAAACTATCAAAAATTGGCCGTCTCATTGAGAAAATTCTTGCATGGGACTTTCTAGGAGTTCAATTGATTGTGACATTTACCCTGAAGAAACTCTGGGGCAAAGGTTTGACCTCTCTTGCTGCTTTGGGGAAATCTCTTGAACTCTACCACCATTCTCTCTCCCTTTCCCTGTTCTAGCCCACGTGTGCATGATACTTTGGTGAATAGTGAGTGTAAGGGTGTTGGCTTGCTGGCCTGATGCCCCACTTTTCCATCCTATAGTCACCACAAAGAAGAAAGTCCACATGGCATGCATATATGTGCAAGTTGGGTCTACTGAGAGGCAGGGCTTTAATTATTCTTGTTACTATTGGTGCTTATTTTCCCTACTGTTTATGGGGGGGGGTAGAACACATGAATTTATATTTAGGTCAGGTTAAATAAAATGGCTAGGAGAAGGAGGGAAGATATTAGGAGTGGCAGTATATAACCACCCAAGATGCAAGCATTCTTTCTATCCCAGTGCAGAAAGGAAAGTGAGGTCCTGCTTCTTTCCAAGCCTCCCCCCCCCCCATTTGGGTTGTGACCTCTCCACTCCTAGCTCTCACTAACATCTTGATGCACTGCCTGTTTGTAACAATGTATGTTTCTTTTGCTGAATGCTAATAAAGTTCTGGGTTTAAGAGGGACTACCCCCACCCCAGACACTAAAGAGTGTTCTTGTGGTTTGTACCATATCAGTATGTCTGTTACTTGTGGTGGTTGGGTTTGCCCTTGAAGGGAAGTTGAGAAACTAAGAAGTGAGGTGGGTAGGTGGCACCCAGCACAGGAAACAGAAGCCAGAAC